TTCTTGTGTATCTTCTCAATTAAAATATTAACCCAGAACTTTAAGCGGTTAGCCTCACAGATATTAAATGTTTTTTCATTCCATTCCATATACAAAAAAGGGTAAAACCAATAATTTAGAAAAAGCATCATCAGGACATTTTAATAGACAAATGTTTCATAAAATTCCTTGTGAATGACATTTCCGTAAACATACAAAACATATTTCTAAAATTCCTAGAGCAAAAATAGTGATAAACGGATAAAATAAAAACCTGTTTGGGTTTTGTAACATTGGAAAGCTCGTCGGAGGTTCCCTCTGTGGCGTCTCAAACATGCCTGATGAGTCTAGTTTCACAGAGTGATCACATTGCATCGTGGTCAGTTCATCGCACCATGAATGTAAAAATAGTAATGCTTGCAGAATCCTTATTTCACAGAAGGTCATTCAGGCTCACATTGATCAGCCGAGCCTATAAAATAACCATCTGAAATTGAATCTACTGTCAAAACAGTAGAAGTGAATGTTTACACCTACTGCTCCATGGTGCAGTATATTACAGTACAGTACAGAAAGGCAAAATAATGTTTAAATACATGAGCTTCTCCAATGGCAGTCAAGCGTCATTGTCAAGTCCCTGATTTCACATGTTTAAAATTGACTGCCATGAAGACGATGTATACAAGATCACAACCAAAAATAAAATGCAGGAACAATATTCTGCAAAAAGGTCTAACAAGTCCACCTATGAGTGTATATTCCACTCGGATACTAATAAAGAATTGATAAAAATCTAACACCTGACACAAGAGGTGAAGGACTGAGTTGGCGCAAATGTCTGCATGTCAGTGCAAGGACATTGACGCCCTCTTTCCTCATGCGCTGCCGTCTTTCGGGCCACCATCGATGTCTGGGATCTGATCAGCGAAGGACTGGGTCATCCACTGTCCGTCTGGAAGCTGGCCCTCTGCTATTTGTGATGTGCTCGCCTCCTGTGCTCCCTCTGAGGAAAGAGAGCAAACAACTTGAAGCACCGCGCCACTGATAATGTGACAGAATCTGTAGGGTGGTTCGTTTTCATGGGTACGTCAGCGCCGTGAAACATCTGGTACCTATCTCAAGATACCGTGTCACTTCAGGACAGATGATTGAATCGAGTTAACTAGCCATACAATTACACAATCAACCACAACTGAGCTACGAATCTGAAAATTGTTCTGGATTATGTATACAGCAGAGTTGAAATGATAAGTTATGAATGTATCAGCACCAAATCTGACAATCAATACATCATTTAATTAATTCTTACAAGACAAATAGCAAAACATTTTATTGGTTTCAGATTTTAAAATATTAGGATTTAATGTTTTTCTCTATAATATAATCTTCCAGTTTTTGAACAGACGAAAAAATGAATTGTTAGCAGAGCTGTTTTCTTCAACCAGAAATGGTAAAATATTAAGAAATCTTACTTTTGAACACTATAACTTGAGATATGTGTGTATTTCTCTCAATACAATCCCCTGTGGGCACGCTGCAGAATGTATCCAAAGAGCAGATAACTTTACTAAAGAGTGCAGAACCACGTCTGCTGTGTCCCCTGAGATCCAGCGGTGTCCGTGTAATGTTACCTGTGTTTTCTGCAGTTGAGTGAGTACAGTGACCATTGGTCTGGCTCTGGGCCTGGCCCCCTTCAGGTCCTCTCTCAGCATATGCTCCGCCATAAGCATCTTCATAACCAGGGTCATACTGCTCCTCCTTTATCGCTAACCTCTTGGCATCCTCTGTTGATGGAAAAAATAGAGAATAAAGTACATGTCAGTCACGCTCTGGCCTCCACGAACCAAAGTAATGGTTTGATTTTAACATCACGACGGACTGAAACGACGCTGTCAAGCCAATAATGCTATAACGTTCCATGCTTATATAAAATATCTCAACATGCTCAAAGTAGGAAAAAGCTTTATTTTTACTTTTGCTGCTGTCTAGTTAAAAGTTTCAGGAAAGAAAAAGGTAACTGCCATGAAACACAAACATGTCCAGTCATCCCTGATGTTTCAGTGGTGCTTACCTTTAGCCAGCTTCAGGTCAAATGCATAGTCAACCTCCTCAATCTCTGTGCTTTTTTGGATGCCCTTCAGCTGATCTCGGAGCTCCCTCAGCTTAATGTAGAAGTGTACTTTGTCCTGAGCACGAGGGAACTGAGCACAACGAGCGCTGGAAGAAGGCATCAGATACAGAGCCTGCGTATGAGAATCAATGGTGAGTTGAAGTTTTATAAAGCAGAAATTAGAGTTGAAAACAAATTGCTCAGATGAGGTTGAAAGTTATTTTCTAAAGTGGCAGTAAGTTGATGATACACTGACATGGAATTAGGAGAATGTTGAATGTTTAATTTCCACTCCTCACCCTGACTGTTAGTTCTTGCTCTCTGCAATTTTGGTGAGGGTGTACGACCTTTTCTATCTTTTGTGAGAAGTGTGTAACTGTCTGATAGTTGCAGCTAAGAATCTTAGAGGTCATTAAAAACCAGTATTTAACTTGGATATTCATCCAGGATACACTTAAAATATAAAATAAAAAGAAGAATTCTTAAGTTTGGCGTATTTGTTACAGCAGCAGCTCTTCTGGTTCAGGAAGCCGAGGATCATGGGTGATATCCACAGTTCAGTGGTATTTCAGTTCAGTGAGTGGGACAGATTGATAGACTGCTGTTTGTTTACGTGAAAACTCCTCAGTTGCTTAGACACGGCTGCACGGGGCGCTGTTGCTCAGTAATGTTACATAGTGTTTCATCATGTTGAACAAATACACAAATATGCCTGGATTGATTTACAGAATTATTGATTCTTACTTTTTAGAAGTCAAGTCTGATCTTTGAATGATATCAAGTGTGATAATGGTGTAAAAAACATCCACAGTGGTTTCATACGGTTGAGAGGTGAATGTGTTAAATCTGTTAATGTTGTGATGCGTTTAAGTTCTCACCACTTCACAGTCTGGGATCTTGTGCGGTTGCAAACCAAAGTCAAGCTTCTTTGGTTTTTTACCAAACATTTCTCTGCAGAACATTTCATAGATGCCTGTGGAAAACAGAAAAATATTACGTTCATATACTTTTGTGAATAATTGTATAGTAACTTTTTCACTGTATTAAATGAGTGCTTACATTTTCCATTGAAAACAGCAATAAGAGGCTTGAATTTCTTCAACTTCTCTACGAGAATTTTGCCTCCTTCACGTAACTCTTTACTGTTGAGAGAAAAATAAAAGAAACATGGTGAAAATACAGATACAGCAAAGCTCTCGATAAGATGCATACATAACATAACATATCACAGTTAGCCATTATTTTTCCTGCTTGTTAATCCAACTCAGACTATTTGCCCTCAGTACAGATTTTCTGGCTCCATTTAACCCGGTGCTGAGAGAAATGAGTTTCACTGACATGTTCTACATGTACACTGCTCAAAAAACACTCAAATCAGACATGAGATCTTGAACGAAGTATTCAAGTTGAAAATCTTTATCGATGTACATCGTGTAGAATGTTGAGAACAAAATGACGCAAAAATGGTCAACTGAAACCAAAATCCTCAACCCACTGAGGGCTGGGTTCAAAACCTCACAAATGTGATGTGTCTTGCTTTTTGCCTCCACTGCACCTGTTGTCACTTTAATTATCACCAAAGCAGGTGAAATGATTCACAATCACTCGTTCTCCCTTAATGGACGGATTGATATCCCTGAACTGACTTGGTGTTATACTGTGGTGTTTAAGTTTCCTTTTTAAGCCGTGCATTTACCTTGAGAGGTCTTTACTTCCTGGTGTTGCCCTCTCCACCATGTTTGTGAAACCCATCTTGTACTTGGCAGGCAGGGTGGTGTCGTGCATGTGGTTGAGCTGCTCCTCAGTAAATCCGGACAGAAACAGG